TAGTAGTAGTAGTAGTAGTAGTGGTAGTAGGAATAATAGTAATAGTAAGTAGTAGTAGTAGTAGTAGTAGTAGTAGTAGTAGTAGTAGTAGTAGTAGTAGTAGTAGTAGTAGTAGTAGTAGTAGTAGTAGTTAGTAGTAGTAGTAGTAGTAGTAGTAGTAGTAGTAGTAGTAGTAGTAGTAGTAGTAGTAGTAGTAGTAGTAGTAGTAGTAGTAGTAGTAGTAGTAGTAGTAGTAGTAGTAGTAGTAGTAGTAGTAGTAGTAGTAGTAGTGTAGTAGTAGTAGTAGTAGTAGTAGTAGTAGTAGTAGTAGTAGTAGTAGTAGTATCAGCAGTAGCATTAGCATTAGCAGTAGCAGTAGTAGCAGTAGTAGTAGTAGTAGCAGCAGTAGTAGTAGTAGTAGTAGTAGTAGTGGTAGTAGTAGTAGTAGTAGTAGCAGTCGTAGTAATAGTAGTAGTAGTAGTAGTAGTAGTAGTAGCAGCAGTAGCAGTAGTAGTAGTAGCCTGAATACTTGTATTATTACGATTAAGATGATTCGTAATAATATTATTCCTCGTACTCTTCCTACACCCCTTGCTCGTATTGAAATGGATTCGAATGGATTGGAACAGGACGGAACCCAACGAGAGCAGGAACACCGGCAGGCGGCGGTGGCTGCGTTCCGTTCCGTTCCATTCCAGTCCAATCCAGTCCATTCCAGTTGAATTTCGTCCTATGGGGGAGACTCCACCTGCTCGAAACAGGCGCCAAAAACAGTGAAGACCTACTCCATGAGGGGGGGGGAGTGGGGGTGCGAGGGCCCGTGCCGATCGGCAAAACAATGAAAAAGAGAACGATCACTTGCCGCCCCCCCCCGGGCGCTCATGTTTCCGCCCTTCGGCGTTACCACGTGAGGAGTATAGCAGAATAGTATAGTATAGTGTGGCTCCCAAACGTTGCCACGTGGCAAGCGGAACGGACTCGTACTTTTCTCGGCCCCCGCGGCGTTGCCATGCGACGAGAAGAACGGAATGTTCGTTCTTCGGCAACCCCAGGCGGTGCCAAGTGGCGAGTGGAGTGGAATAGTATTGTTTGTTCGCCCCCACCACCCACCCGGCGTTGCCACATGACAAGTAGAGCGGAAGAGTATTGTTGTTCGCCCTGCAGGCGTTGCCACGTGACGAATAGAGCGGAATAGCATTGTGTTCTGCATAGAGGCATGGCCATGTGACGTGTAGGATGTTCCCTTTCCGCTGCATGGCATTGAGATTGGATTGTCTTGCGTTGGATTGCATTGAGCTGGAGTGCTTTGACATGAAGTGAATTGCGCCTGGACTGCAGCGCACTGCAGCGCATTACGTCGCAGCGCACTCGCAATTGCACGAGGCTTCGTTTATAGACAAGCCGAATGTTTGTGAAGGGACCAAAGGACATATAAATAAATAGAAAGAAATCCCAGGGTTCTCAATCATTTCCCAATGTTCTGGGTGTTCGTCCCCCCGCTTCCTATATGTTGTCAAATGTTCCTGGGAATCGATGATACATTGTGCCTATGTCCCCCTCCTGAGGTGGACCCAGCAGCCAGCCAACCAACCAACCAGCCAGCCGACCACTCCAGAATTACTTGTTTTGGCCCGGCAGCCAGCCAGCCAGCCAGCCCGCTAAGCCACACGTTTGGGCCTTTTGTTTGAGAATGTCTCACACGACGGGCCCTGCAATCCACTTCCTTGGCCCAACACACATATATACATATATATATATATGTATGTACACACGCGTATATCTATATAAATATATATGATTTTTTAAACCCGGACAAAATAAACTGTTATAAGATGCAAAAACCCGATCCCTGGTTTGTCTTAACCGCTCTCCGCCTGAGAAGAAATCGAGAAATCCAGGGGTCAGAAGGTGAGGACGGGCAGCGTCCAGACGTCAAACCGTCAGAAGGTCGTGGGGAAAGGAGGAAGAGAGAGGAAGAGAGAGAGAGAGAGAAAGAGATGGATGGGGGGGGGAAGGACAGAGAGAATGAGAGACACATAAACAAAATAATATATATATATATAGATAGCGACAGACAACAAGTACAGAGAAAGAGAGAGAGAGATAGCGAAGAACAAACACACAAAAAGAAACAGAGAGGGAGGGGGGGAGAGCGAGAGAGAGAGAGAACAAACAAAGAGGGGGGATGAGAGAGAGAGAGAGAGAGACAAACAAAAAACGAGGGGGAGACAGAGAGAGAGAAAGGGTAAACACAACACCTTCTTTATATACCCATACGAGCCATTGGGGGCAAGGAAGTTGTAGGGGGACAGAAAGAAAGAACGACGGGGAAACAGAGAGAGGAAGGGAAAACACAACATCTTCTTTTATATACTGGACAGGTGATAACGAGTCTGTGGGGGGCCATTGACCTCATCACCAATCTCACTATCGATGCCACTACCGCGCTCACTATCGACCTCACTCTCGATCTCACTCTCAATCTTACCCCACCGATCTCACTCGACCGATCTAAATCGATCGATCTCACTCTACCAATCTCACTCTAACGATCTCAATCGAGTGATCTCACTCGATCGATCTCACTCTGCCGATCTCACTAACGATCTGACAAGCGATCTCACTGGCGATCCCACTCGATCTTACGATCGACCTCTGGAATTACATACTGGTGAAAACAAATGCCTGTCGATCACTATCGACTTCGGCACTGGTGAAAAACAAATGCCTGGTGAAATACCCACGGGGCACCGACAGGGCACCGACGGGACACCCACGGCGGGGCACCAACGGGACATCCACGGAACACCGACGGTATACCGACGGTACACCGCCGCGGACACCGGCGGGACACCCCTGGCCACCGCCGCGGTCACCGCCGCGGACACCGCCGCGGACACCGCCGCGGACGCCGACGGGACACCACGGCGGGACACCACGGCGGGATATCACCAGCCACGCCGGTCCACAAGAGGGCCTGCCCCGCCCTACGTATCCACGGCGGGATCATTCCTCTCGCCCCCCCCACGCAGCTTCGCCTCGCCCGGCCGCGCACGAGTCGAACCCGAAGCCGAAAAGCCGGTTTCCCCGTGGGGAGTTCTCCGTTCCACTGCGATCTCACCCCGAAGCTCCAATAGAAGGAAGCTTGCAACGATAACAAAGCCCCGCCCCCAGGCACTACACCCTGCGAAATGCTTAAGAAATCATGGGTTAAGAAATTCATAGTCTCAAAACTTGAGTAAAAAAACCCAACATTTCTGTTAAAATCTTAAGATTTACATTGAAACGTTAAGAATAATCGAGAGTCTGGCCGAAAACTCAAGTTTTCTTAAGCATCGCCTGAGGTGTAGGTTTAGGTCGGGCATGTCCCCCACACGCGGATTTCGGACGAAAAGTAAAACTACAAAAAAAAACACAAAAACACATACAACAAATCGTCTCATGACTGACTATTTTGTTGGCTATTTGTGAATACCTATACGACCACCCTGCGGGTGATAAGGAGGTTTGGGGGGGGGCCGGCAATGGGCAACAGTGATGAATGTTGTTGTGACAATGCCAGTGGAGATAGTTGCGTTGCCGCTCGCTCTTGGGGGCGTTGGTGTCGAGTTGTTTACGTCACCCTTCCCCTGTCTCATTCGGTCTCACTACCGATCTCACAATCGATATCACTATCGACGTCGTCATCATCATCGACATCACCATTAACATCATCATCATCATCATCCTCATCATCATCATCATCGTCATCATCATCATCAGCATCATCATCATCATCATCAACGTCGTCATCATCATCATCACAATCATCATCACCATCATGGCCATCATCACCATCAGCATCGCACAATCGATCTCACATTCGGTCTCACTATCGATATCACAATCAATCTCACAATCGACGTCATCATCATCATCATCATCATGATGATCATCATCATCATCAACGACACCAACATCATCATCATCATCATCATCATCATCATCATCATCATCGCCATCATCAACATCATCATCATCATCATCAACATCAGTACCATCATCATCATCACCATCATCATCATCCTAATCATCCACGTCATCATCGGGACACCGACGGGACACCGAAGGGACACCAGAGGGACACCGGCGGGACACCGCGCGGCACCGGCCGCCCGGTCAAGGTTCTTTTGCCCCGGCCGCGCCTCAGCCACACGGGACACCAGCGGGACACCGGCGGGACACCGCGGGGCACCGGCCGCCCGGTCAAGGTTCTTTTGCTCCGGCCGCGCCTCAGCCACAGGAGACTTTCTCTCGCCCGCCCACGCAGCTTCGCCTCGCCCGCACGGCACGCACGAACACGAAACCGAAATCGATTTCCCGGTAGGAGGGCTCTCCGTTCCACTTCGATCTCACCCCCCAACCTCCGATTCCTCCTGTTGGGGGACGCGCCCGACGTGACACTAGGCGTCACCCCGAGCCAGCCGCAGGAGCGCGCAGGGGGGCCGAGACCAGGCGAGGCCGCCCGTCGTGCCCCTTATCCCCACGGCGCACGCGCGCGTCGAGGAGCAGGAGGAGGCGGCGAGAGGGAAGGAGCGGGAGGTCGAGGAGGAGGGGGGGGGGATAACAGGATAACAGCCATGAGAGCGCGGCCAAGTTGCCCGATCGCGCCTCGACACTACTGCGAGTCGAACGACTCCCTTCGGGCCCCCTGAAACGCCCCATCTCATCGGACGCCTTGATGCCGTGCTCCGCGTGGTGGCAGGGGGGGGTGGGGGAAAGAGGGGGGGATGAGGAGGCGGACGAGATTTTCCAGGGGAGAGCGGAGGGAGAGGGGGGGGAGGAGGAGGAAATGGGGAGGGGGAGATGCGGCACCAAGGCGGGGGGAGGAGGAGGATGGATGGGGAGAGGGGGGAGGAGAAGGAGAGGGAGAGGGGGGAGCAGAACAGAGGAGTGAAGGGAGGCGATGGAGAGGGACCAGGAGGGGGGATGGAGGAGCAGGAGGAGCAGATGGAGCAGATGGAGGAGGAGGCGGACGCTTTGAGTGAGATGCTCCACCAGGTGGCGGATCCTCACGTCCGACAGCGCCCGCTCCATGCCCGGGCCCGGCAGGTCACTGACGGGCACGGGCAGCTCCAGCAGGGGCGGCAGCACCCTGCCGAGAAGGGCGGGGGACATCCCCAGCACGCCGGGAGGCGGCCCTGGTCAGCCCTATCCTCCTCCTCCTCCTCCTCCTCCTCCTCATCCTCCTCCAATTCCTCCTCCTCCTCCTCCTCCGCCTCCTCCGCCTCCGCCTCCGCCTTCGCTTATAGGCATCCGCCCACTCCTCCTCCTCCTCGTCCTCCTCGTCCTCCTCCATCCTCCTCCTCCTCCTCCTCCCTCCTCCTCCTCCTCCTCCTCCTCCTCTATTCCTCATCCTCCGCCTCCGCCTCCGCCTCCGCCTCCACCTCCGCCTCCGCCTGCTCCTCCTCCTCCTCCTCCTCCTCCTCCTTCTCCTCCTCCTCCTACTCGTACTTCTGCTCCTTCTCCTTCTCCTCGTCCTCCTCCTTCTCCTCGTCCTCCTCCTCCTCCTCCTCCTCCTCCTCCACCGTCCCTGTCAATTACCACTGCAAAGTGATCGCGGGGCGCCCGCGCATGCTCAAGATCTGGAAGCAAAATGCGTGTGTGTTGTTTTTGGTGGCCAAGATTTTGGGGGGGAGGGGCTCCTGGATCTGGGTTGGCTGCCGGTCGGGTGGGGAAGGGGGTGTTGATTGATATGGAAGCGATACAGGGGATAGGAATGGGAATCCAGATGGAAAAAGGTTAAAGGGGATACAAATGACAATCGAGATGGGGAATCGAGATGGAAATAGGTATAGGGGAAGGTCTTAAAAAGAATAGGGATAGGAATAGAGGGAAAGAGGAATGAGGACAAGAACGGCAATGGGAGGACACAGGAGGCAACGGGAGGCCACGGGAGGCCACAGGAGGCACCGGGAGGTCATAGGAGACAACGTCGCCCGCCCAAATCTGGATCTGGCAACACACCTACTGGTTTCGCATAATATTACCCGCCGACGTGCCTGCACAGAGCTGGCGGTTTAGAATGCTTCTGTGCTGTCTGGTGAAATCTCCTTCTGTGCCTCTCAGGGCCCTCTGCGACGCGCGCGCCCCTACAACCGCCTCACCTCTCCAGAGGGGAGGAGATTACAGCTTACAACTCACATTACACTCGAGACGCCCCAAGTGGCCTCCAAGACGCCCCAAATGTCCTGCAAATGGCCTCAAGAGACTCCGAGAGGAATCTAAGAAACCTCTGGCCCACTGAGGCTCCCCAAGCTCTCGAAATGATGCCACGGTCCCCCGATAAGGGCAGCTCCTCTGTGCATCGTTCCAGGATGGGCTGGCTCGTTCCTGCTACGCAGGCAGCTAGACATATAATCCTTACAGACAAGCTGTTTAGGGAATATCGCCGGAGATCCAGGGCGACGACGACGACGACAACGACGACGACCACCACCACTGCAACCATGACATCGACGACCACGACGACGACGACGCCGACGAGGACGAGGACGAGGACGACCGCGACCGCGACGACGACGACGACGACGCCGCCGACGAGGCCGACGACGACGACGACGACGACCGGCACGAAGGCTTGTCGTGAAGGGCTTAACGACGTCTGTCGTCCCTCGACTCGTGCTGGAGCAGCCACGAGTTGCCCCAAATGTCCTGGGATGTTTCTGGATTCGCGTGGATCTGCCACGACTTCCCTGGATGTACCTCGATGTGTCTGCATTTGCCTTGCTATATCTGGCTTGATCCCCACGGGTCGATTGGCGACAAATCGTCAAGCCCCTCTGGGGAAAACCAAAAGGTACCGATACCGCTACTCCCCGGACATCTATCTCCTGGGGCGAGTTCTGACAAGGGCTTCGATGCGAATCCAGCGGTGGCGACGAGGGCCTCCCAGGAGACCGAAAAAGCGGAGAACGAGGGAAAGTAGCCGTATGGGTGTACCTCTTCCTCCTCTGACCTGAGGGAGCTTGAAGGGGGGCCCGCGCGTGGCCTGTCCATCAGCGGCCCGCCACGCTCCTGCCACGCGGCCTCCTGGGGGGTTCTCGAGCGGCCAAAGCGGTGGCCCCCTCAAGGAGGCCCAGGCAGGGGCAAGCACGTCCGAAAGCCTCGAGCATCGATCCTGCCTCCTCTCTCGTATTCCTCCTGCTCCTCCTCCTCCTCCTCCTCCTCCTCCTCCTCCTCAACAGACTCAACAGACTGACGAGCGTCCTGACACTCCAAGAGCACCGAACGCTGACTACATCGAGGAAACTCCCACGTCCTGGGTCGAAGTCCATGGGGTGGAAGCAGGGAACGGGAAAGGGGGAAAAGACGAAAGGGGAAAGGACTTGCCCAGACGCAGGGACGTGCCAGGAACGATCCCTCTGAGAAGCTTAGAACGCTCAGAGGACCGCCTGGGGTTCGTGCATGGCTTCAGTAGCTTATCAGCTTTGACCGATGCTGAGCCACCACACAAAACACAAAAGATGATCGGGGCATCTGACTCCTCACAACGGGCCCAATGCAACTTATGCCCAGTGCCCGCACCACCCTCCAGCAAGGAGCGGATCGTGGGGTTGGGAGCAACGCGCGGAGAGGAAGTCTGACCCGACACTACCCTCAAACACCTAAGGCATCTCATACATTTGCCATGTGCTGAGGGGATGTGCGCAACCCCTTGTCTGACCACTTTGGGTCTCGGGGTCCTGGAAATCTTCCCAAACTGCTGGCTGCAGCTGGGCCACGCCTTGAGAACATGGATGACGCCTGCAACAAGGCTTTGATATTCAAGCTCTCCTTGTTTGAGAGCCTCTAGAACACTTGGTGGAATATTATGCGCCTGGGCACCACGCTTAGCAAATAAATCAGCCATGGTCGACCCCGCTATGTTCAGGTAGTCTTCAACATCAGTGGCTTCACTGAATGAACGGTGAGCTTTCACCTTGGAAAGCGTCGGCCAAGGATTACTCTGGAGACACTTGCCAATCTCCCGCCAAAAGAAACTGCATTGCGTCCTGCCCGACAACACCCTCGAGGCGTTCCGAACTCCCGCAAAGAGGCCAGACTAGTCAACTCTTATACTGCTGGCGACACGATCTGTACTGTTCACATTCCTACGCAAGATAGCGACCGCCAAACCAGCATACTCTGCAGCACCACTCGACTGTTGGTGCATGGAAGGGAGGGGGCCATATACCCCTCTGACCAAACTGCCGTCATCTGACATCGACGCAATCCCAAAACCCGCTCTTGCTGCCTCAGGGATCCCGCCTTGGTAGCAGGAGCCGTCTGAGAAAAGCGTCTCATCAGGTTCAAAGAAAAAGGGGTCGACTTCCTCTCCTTGCGGCCCTATAAAAGTGAGATTCCAATCAGAAGCAGGGGCATCTACCTCTGGCATGACAGGCCACAGGCGAGAAAGTAACGCACTATTAGGTCCAGCGGCTCGGACCTGGGCCAACACATCTAAACCAAAGTGCTCCTGCCTCCTCTCCTCGGCCTCAGGGCAGGGGCACTGCCGCATCCTATGCCGCGAGGTGTCTGGCGCCGTCTGGCATAGAGGACAGACCTCCTCAACTTGATATCCCCGCTGGATCAAGGCAGTCCCAGTGGGAAGAGCTCCAGATAAAATTTGGCGGTAGAGGTGGTCCCCTTCACCATCTAGCTTCTTGGCCGTGCGAACAACTACAGGGAGCCAACAGCCCTCCCCTACTATTGGACAGTCAAATCCTACCTCACGAGCAACTTTCCTCAGGTACCTATTCAGGAAATGCCGACTGAGGTCTCTTGTGAAACCTTCAGCAACAGCTTGGGGCGGGCTCTCAGTCAGAACATAGCGCTGACCACTAGCACTCACAAGGACCGCGGGGCTCTCCCAAGACCAGCCTGCTTCCTGGAGCCACAGTAACATAGCCGATATGGGTCCTTTGGTGCGGACCAACGAAGACTTTCCCTGAGACTTCCGAAACTCCTTCTCAACCACATGGAAAGTCTTGCTTAGTTCTCCAGTGCTAGTCGCATCCGCATGGTGACGAGGTCCATACGAGGATTGTTCTGACATACGCCACCACTCCCAAGCATACCTTTTTAACGCTCCAGCGGCCAGGTGAATGGGGTCGTCCTTGGGGGAGACGGCCCACATGAGGTCAAGGTTGCACCCCCGCTTGCTGACACCTCCAGCTCTGGCAGCAGCACGTCTGATTCGCAGCAGTTCATGTGGTGTAATTCCTTGCACCTCCATACCGAAAGAGATCGTAGGAAGAACCCCTGTCTTAAACAACCTCGCTTTCTTCCCCTGGGAGACCTTCAACCCGCGGAGTTTGGAGATCCTGAAATTGAACGTTCTAAACCGCTTCTTCCGAACAGCACGGGCAAATCTACACCCTTGATGTTTACCAGCAGTAAAAGCCAAACCCAAATTAGTAGCGGCCCATTCTCCTCGACCCGCAAGGGACCCTAACTTGGCCAGGATAGCTTTAAGTAACGCATTTGCATTAGCAACAGAAACCATCTTCTTCTCGGCCAAGGGGACCTCCACATGTTGGGTAATGACAACAGCTAAACTGGTTGCCAGATCCTGTAGCTTCTCAACAACCGTCTCGAGTTGGGTCCCCACGAATGAATGGACAGATCATCAACCTGCAGACCCTGACTCGTCCCCTCCTGCCCACGATGACTCAAAATAGTGGGAAGTAGAAACGATTTAGCTTCATACGTAGCCGAGGTACTGCCAGCTACGATACCCCTTTGCGGCCAGACAGGGGCAGCAAAAGCCCCGTCCAACAGCAGTGTCCGCGGCCAACGATACGTGGACAGCGTGTAGAGAAGGATGTGGAGAGGAAACTGAGAAATGACACTCTGCTGTAATAACTTCCGATGCGTGATATGCTCATAGAATTGCATGATATCCCACAAGACGGTTCCATAATGCATCCTATGCCCTGTGGTCCTCTCAGCATGCACACTCTGCCTCCACACCATGTCTAAAGCGCTACTGCCTTTGCGCATTGAAAACTCAGGACCCAGCCCAACAGCCTCTTCCCACTGTCGGCAGGGGTCTCGATGTGTCTTCCCGTGCAGTCTGGCAAAACCATTGTAGTGGCCAATGGGGCGCCTGCCTTTGTCTGGTCTCCCCATGAGAAAGATGACGAGATGTTGCATCTGCTGTGGTGCGTCCCCCAGGATGTCAACAAGATGGAAGAGATCAGCAAGCACAGAAAGCCCATCTACGCTGAGAAGGCTGAAATGACGAGGATGAAATCCATCAGGTTTGCATGTGAAAGCCTTGAATCTGGAGCTGATGTGCCGCAACTCATCTACGTCTCTCGGCTTTGGAACAGGAATGGCCATGGACGGAAGCACAAAGGGTTCTGCTTCAACCTTGACATCACTCCCCTGCCACCTTTCCTTCCACATCTCTCTCTCTCTCATGCGCAAGTCGAGCGGGCAACGAACTCGTGAACGAGTCACCACATGCAACAACCTCCTCGTTGGCGGGTTCTCCCGTCCTCAAATACGCGTACGCCATTTTCATGCTGGACTCAGCCGCTTCGGTGCACCACTGGTTCCATGAGTTCCTGGCCCTGGTCCTATCCCCCAAAGATCCCAGATGAGCCCAAACAGCAACAATCTCATGAGTCTTGTCCAGAATCCCCACGGCGTCTTCTCCCAACGTGGTGCTTCGAAGCGTCCTAGAAATAGAGGAACAGAACTGGTGCCAGAAATCACCTCCTGCCCGCCAATGTCGACGGAAAGGGCCACCACGTTCAGGTAGATCATCCCACTGTCCGAGAAGATCCCAGAAATACTTCCCAAGAGTTCGTTTTCTGATGAGTGTCCTAAGCTCCTTGGCGCGGTTCAGAACCCAAAGAATGGGGCGCCCTGGGCACGCGTTCTTATAATGCTTAGTGGCAAGCAACTTGGAGAGCTGAACCTCTGAGAACTCCATGGGGGCCCCACCAGCAAGCCCCGAGACTCCATGACATTGGCCAACACCTAATATTTCCTTCCAAGCTCTTGGAGCCCATTGCGAGTACACTTCATTGAGGATCTCAAGGCCTGTGCCCCTACGAGTCCCAAAGACCATGTGGGCAACTCCATCGGGGCCCCTACAACCCTCGATGAACTCTTCAAGTTTCCCAGCCAGGTCCTCATAAGATGGTGGCTCCTCTTTGGGTCCGATGGCTGGCTGGTGGGGTACCTCTTGGTAGGTCTTGGGGGTCCTGACCTTGATCTCCTGAATCATCTTTTTCACGTGGGGCAAAACGGGCCTGCGCGGGCTGAACGGAGCCTGCAAGTCGACGTGGATCGTCGGGACTGCGTAGTCGACCACCCTGCTTATGATGAAGTAGTCGAGCACCGACGAGCCCGCCCCGACGCATGTGGGCACACTTGTGGCCCTGATGACACAACCAAGCTGCTTGGGAACCTGGTTGTAAAGAATATGTGGCTCCATGTTGAAGTCGCCCCCAATGATGAAGGGTAAATTGTGCTTGAAACAGTCATTCCATATCGCGGTGAGGACTTCTTTGTTGACCACTGATAGTCCTTCCGAATCTTTGAGATACACTGAGTAGATGACCAGCACCCCAAGCCTGGCACTTCTGAAGAAACATCTGGACACTCTCCCAAGGTAGATGACGGCCGATACACCAGGCGGGTTCCACGTGTCGAGGTGGTTCTTGACGACCGCGAAGGTTCCACCCGACACAAAACCTGACTCCAGCTGGACTCCTGGACATCCATACACTTTCCATCCACTTCGTTGCAGCCTAGAGACCTGAAGCTGAAACAACCTTCCTCGTAGACGGTGCTCCTGCAACAAATTGATGTCCCCAATCGTTGTCTCCATAAAGTCACGAAAACTCGCTTTATTCTTGCCCGAGATGCCCTCCAGTTCTGCCTCAGTATCTGATAACCAACTGGGACCATTGAACGTGACAATGAACATCCTGCGAGCATTCTCCTCAGACATTGATCCCTGCCCGAGTACCCTACCTTCATGTGGAAATTGTCCTTCATGAGGGGCGCTGCACCGATCCTCCAGCGATTCTACCGAGGCCGAGGCTCCCCAGTGTGCTTCCACCCCGAGTGAGCGTGCCTCCATCGGCGCTCTGCTCGACATGGTGACCTCTGGGTGCTGCGAGGCCCGGGCAGTCTCCGCTATCTCAGGATCGGAGAGTGCGGCCCCAGGTCGCGAAATACACCTCGACCTGGCAATCGATCGAGACGGGATACCTGAATGAGTACTACCTCTGCCCACTCTGCTCGACATGGTGACCCCTGGAAGCTCCGAAGCAACGGCAGTCTCCACAATATCTGGCTCGGAGAGTGCGGCCCCGATCGTAGCCGAGGTCTCGTCGTCGGTCGTAGTATCTCCAAGCCTAGTAGTACTCTGTTGAGTCTCACGCATTCTCCCAGCTCTGCTGCTGGTCCGTCTCATACTCACGTGCCCTGCTCGGGCGTCCTCTGGGAACTGAACGAACTCTTGGCGGAGTCCTGGAGTGGCGTGTTGGCGGTCCTGTCCGTTCGCGTTCTCGAGCTTTTCGAAACGTATGCTCACGAAACTTCCCCACCAGCTTCGACCGAGCTTCATCGGACACCCCTGCCGCAGCACACACCTCATCCAAATCGTCGTCCTCGAACTCCATGAGCCCAGGTACGGCCTGGTGGACTGCATGTGCATCCTCCCCTCGGTGTGCTTCCCCGCTTGCGCAAGAG